GTTCAATAAAAATCTTCAACTGATCGATGCACTCCACCTGCCAGTAGAAAGACTTTTCTTAAGCTACTCTAAAATATACTAAAGAAAATAATTTATTTAATCTTAAATTTTGATAATGTAAAAAACATGCTTCTTTTAGCTATTATGTCAATTGAGAATAAGCTATGTACGCGTTATAGTCAGACTGCAAAATGAACTCCGATAGTAATACCAAGTTCAAGACAAATAAAAAAATAAAGGAGAACGACAGTCTCCTTGAAACATTTACTGAGTTTCAAGCTCAGTAGAGAGTATACATATGTTGTTTCAATTGGAAGATAGTAGGTCGATTTTTGGGATTCATTTGCAATGTTTGGCAAAGAAGATTTCGTAAGTAAGGATCGCTGGTGGCGTGCATTCCAGGTGGTGGAGCAGAGGCGTCGGAGCATCCGATCTCATATTGATTGGTCATATTTGGCATGACTCCATATGTCATGAAGTAGAGAATAGCACCCAAAGACCAAATATCCGCTTTTCGAGAAACTCGACTACCTCTATATGAATACTTATCTGGACGCAATACTTCGGGGGCACTGCGAGGAGAAAAATTGAAAAATAATAGAAACAAAAAAATCAATGAATACTTCTTTACCTGAAGCCTGGAGTGCCGTTGCCCTCGTACCGTTGTCTAAAAAATGAAAATATCTTTTATTCTGAAGAAAAGATCACCATCAACCAGAAATAGACGATCGATTGAATATTTTCTAGTAAGACAATTCATACCATTCGTAGACAAGCAAGAACAACTCAATGATCTTGTCTTAGGTAATTTAAAATTCATAGAGAAAAAGCCTACTGATTTATAAGCATGCTAATATTTGAAACTTTATTAGACATAATCACGAAACGAAGCAGTGAAAACATTGCAAATACACGGAGTTATTTGTGACGATTGATGCTGATTATTAGACTTCTTCTAGCTATAGAAGATTTGATGAATCTATTTCAAAATTTTCTTGAGTACCATCGAAACAGACTCGCAAAAATATGTAATTTATGAATCTACGTGCTCACAATTTCTCTATTTGTAGTATTGAGATTCTTCTTGTTGAAACAAGTCAGATTGTTTCTAAATATAAAATGAACTGTTTTATTATGGTAACGCTTGTTGAAACTAAAATGTTGCTGTGTGCATTTTTATGGCAAAACAACTCTTCTGTCAACAACAGACATGTAGCATAGAGAAGCTATTATCAACATCTTTTTGTAAACTTCCTTTTTTTCTGTGCATTTTTTTAAGATTATGTAATATAATAGACAAAATTAATAAGCTATATTAATTGAGTTCAATCTTCTGATCTTCTCAAGAGAGAGTATTCAGCTCAGTGAACAGATAGCATTCCTAATTTAGTACAATGCTAGATGGTCATCTTATTAAAACGAGAATACCTATTTGATTCATTGCATCTTTTGTGAAGAATTTTACCTTGTTTTATTGATCTGATAGGCCACACCAAGATCTGCTAACTTGATTTTATTGCCGAATGTAATAAAGTTACTAGGCTTCAAATCAGTATTGACAATATCCTTCTTGTGTAGAGTTTTGACGCAGGCGACCAGTTGTCGCCAGATGAATTTTCGGTCACGAGCGTGAGTATAGCTATTGCTGCCTCGCATGGAAGCATTCTGCGCCTTTCTTTCAGCCATCTTTTGAATCATACTGTGGAGATCACCCGTTCCAAGTTCCATAACGATGAAGCCAAGTACTAAGCATAGTCAAAATCTATTCAATCATTCCAGTTCAAGTTTACATACCTAGTCCTATGACTTTTTGAACGCCGACATCGTAAAATTCAACAAACTCTTTTGATTTTGGCTTTAGCTTCATCATCAATTGTAATTCATTTAGAAAAGAAACGGCACTTGGATGCTGGAGACGCATTCTTGTCAATGTACTTTCCTCCCAAACGAACATTTTAATAGCGAACCGTTGCCCGTCCGATCTAGTCGCTGAGTAAACAGCTCCTACAATGCATTAATCAGTTCGATAGAGTCATATAGTCACTCGCACATCTAACGATAGAAATGCCGCTTTACAAATCATTAGATTTCTCACAAGATAATAATTCAAACTGGTTATACCAATCATAGAAAGTTCTTTTTTAGGTTCAATTTAAATTTAAAAAAGAAAACATTGTCTTGGATCATACTAAAATGCAATATATCAGAGAATTTCGTATCATTCTTGTGAGTCAGACAATATTTTAGATCATGAAAATAACTTGGAAACAACTTCTGCATATAATTATCACATTTTCGAAAAGATTCTTAGAAAGGTCAATCTATGTTGTGAGTCCACAATTTTTCGAGAATTACTCCATGTTATGAAAAAGGGAAGCCAAGCTGTTAACGACGGAGTACAGCACATACCTTGACCACCATGGCCAAGGAGTTCATCCAATGTATATTCGACACCGTTTATAGTAACTATTGTATTCTGCCATTCCAAGAGTTGTGTTGTCTGGCGAACAAATAGAGCACGACGCAGTCGAAGTGTTCGGTTTGGAAACGTTTCACCCGCTTTCTGATAACGATGAGAATAACGATCTATTTTGATTGAGCAAAAGTGAATAAGAAGTTTGTATTTCTATTCAACGTACCTAAGAGAACTTTCATATTCACCACTTCCTGTTTGTATAGACCAAGTAGCAATTTCTCTTAATGAATCCTAATGATTTAATTACTTTCGATTATACCTGAATGGTTATCAAAAACTCTAGACTAATTATCTTAATATGTCCATTTATCGAATTAAGCAATCATACATTTCTTCGAAGGTCACTGGATCGTTTAGTATAAATACATGATCAAAAGAAAAAATACGAACTTGTAATTTGCTGTGTCCACCAAGTATCACATTTTAGTGAATAACACTTTTTCATCCGTCATTTAGACAACTTTTATCTTCCACAAATACCTCTAATTATTAATTTGATTTGAAATAGTTGAAATTCGAGTTTGTGAGAGTTTTGTTTGCTTATCTACTTGAAATTACATGATGATATCAATTTCTCATCAAAGAGTTGTTGACTAAATAGCATATAATTTCTATATTTTTTTACCATATTTCTTTTTTTTTTTGTCCTTCAAGCTTCAACGACGAATTACCTTGACAAAAATAATTATATTGAAAACATATGCATTCAAGATCAAAGCACGAGCTTGTTCGATGAATATCAACTCCATAAAATATAATTAGACTGCTGGACGATAAAATCAAGTAAATGAAAATTTGATGCACAATTATTGCGTGTGAACAACAAGTCAACATCATAAACTTCACGGCCATGCACATAAAATATGTACAAGACTTCAGATTTTTAGTATTCTCACTTTTCTCTGACATTCTCAAGTGAATTCTTGAAACTAAAAAAACGAAATTGTAACTTGAGAAAGTTTGACAAAGTTTACTTCTCATTTAGTTGACATCTTATCATCGAATCCATTACAAATACAACTCACTACCACCGTTTTTGAACATTACATTGATGATCTTGTAGCATAACATTTTCTATTAAGAGACACATGAAAAAAAAATTCTAATTCGAATATTACATCATCAATTTATAGCGTTATGTTAAGAAGTATACGTTTTAGGTACATATGCACACATAAAAAGTTATGTACCTTTATTACGAGCAAAGCTCGAGCAGATTTTTGTAAAAAAAATCAATGCACTTGTTTTAACTATTGCTTCTTCGTCTATTGAAAAAAAAACAGGGTAAAAGTAATGTTTGCATATACACTTATATGAATAGAGTCATGTGTTGTTCTTTAAGATGGATAGACATAGAAAAGTATGAATTAATTGAATTCTACGTTTAGATTTAAACCCGACAGTATATACGAAAGTTGATCGAGAAAAATGATACATGTGCTTGGAAGCTTACTGAACGATTAAATCAATGTGTATCGCATCTTTTATCTTATATTGTTCTTTCAGAATTTGAATTCGTTCATTTTTAAACGTCAATCTAATTATTTGTTTAGCAGCTCGAATTCGAACAATTTGTACAATACAATGACCGACGTCATATGGGGTATTTTATCTAGAAAAAAAACGAAACTTTAATATTTGTTTGTATCATTACATACGCCATAAGCATGAATGAAAACTCAATAATCACAATCGACCGAACGAAAGAATAATATGAAAAATTCATGGATAAAATCAATTACAAATAAGATCTTAGAATACAGAAATCCTGAAAAAAAAACATTGACGGTCAGTGTGTGATATATATGCATATCTCCCTCTCTGTCTCTCTGACAGATTAATGCAAAGCGATGAAACAACGATCGTTTTGAGCAAAGATCATTGTTCATTAAAATAGTAGTTGACAATAGAATATATTAATATTATAATTGCTAGATCTTATTTTGACTTGGTTTATTATTAAAAAGAGAAGATTCTTAGTTCTCATCTTTTTTATTTATGATATAAAGAAAAGTCGAAATATGATATGTTTTACAAGTAATTCTATAAAGAAATAAATATTATTTGAGCAATATTGAAAACAATGTGTTGATTTCCAACATCAATTAAACGACTTTTATTATCAGATTCAAATATGTCCTGATCTTCAAAATAAATGAAACTAAAACGCTCGCGGTGAGTGCAAATCGTATTGAGAAATATTAATTGGTGGTCTTGGAACAGTCGCTTGTTTTTCATGTCTGTACAAATACGAATAATTCAAACTAGCCGACTCTCCATGGTTCTCAATCCATTCTGCAATAAATATCACTTGACGATGTCGTGGTGGGATACAATCATGACTCTTGTTTGGCAGGTCAATGAGACGAGAGTAATGAACATTTTGTGCATGTTGTATATTCATGTCAAAACTTAGCCAATTTGTTGTCGATAGATTCTCGACAATGAATATCTTCGATCCTAATTTACCAGATGATGTATAAAAGCTAGCTTCTTTGTCCTTAAAAAAAAAGAAAGCAACTTATTATTCAGCCAATATATTTATAAGAAAAATGCAAACAGACAGATCTGCTTCTTTTTTAGAATTTTTCATAACAGCTGAAATCAGACAATCAGCAAGAAATGTTGCCGGTTTATCTTTCTTAGCTAAATCAAGTTGATTACTTGAATATATGACAAGAGTAAAATTTCTATTTTCTTTATGATTTTGCCAGAAACTAGTTGAGAAAGGTAGAAGTACATAACAACCAGCTTGTAATGAACCTGTCCAATGTGTGAAGCCTCCACTTTTACCTATCAATATGCTTTTCCGTTTACCAACAATGCCAGTTAATGCTAATTCGTCAGCATCACATAGAACAAATGACTGAGTAAGAGAACTACGTGTTGTTCGATCACGAAGATGATGTATCGAACTTATAGTGACGAATGATGTTCTAAATATGGCATATAGAATTAGCAAAACAATCAAACTGAACATAACAGTATACTTACTTTGGTACACGAAAATGGTAAGTCATTATATATTGAGTAGACGCTCGAGTAAATTTAGATTGCTCACGTATATCAAAATAATCACTATTATAAGTCGAGATAGTTAATGATGAAAAATACCGAAGAAATCGAGGCCATGATATCCAAAAAGCTCCTGTAGAACGATGTGCAGGATTAACTGAACGTAATTGCTTGAGAACACTTTCTGTCACTGATTCTTCTCGATAATTTGAATAAGAATGAGGATCACGAAGGAGCACAAATCGAGATAATCCATTGCTAAGTGCATGCGCAGCAAGGACAGAAAATGCATGATTATTATGAATACGAACACGAGCATATTCTTCTGAACTCACACCAGTTCCACCTGATGATGTTCCAATCAATGATCTAAAACATAAACCTTCTAGTCATTTTACAAGAGATTTTTTTCAGCTTACTTTGATTCGCAAGCAGATAATAGTTTAGTCCAGATGCTATCACCATCGAGTGTAGTATCCGATGGTTTAAGATCAATATAATCACATGGCGCTCCAGTCAATAACTGTAGACCTTCATCCATATTTCCACTTCTCAAAGCGGCATAAGAACCGAATAGTTTTGCACATGCTTTTTCGATCAATGGAACATACAATTGACGACGTTTGGCTTGAGTGAAGACAATGTGGTTTTGTTTTGTGCAATGAAAGTAATCGTCAACAATAATGGTTTTCCATAAACCATTGGGACAAATACGTACCAGATAAACAGCTTCATTGTTGACTGTTTTTGTAAGCAGAATGTGTTCAAGTAAACGAGACCGTTCAGAAATTAAAGCTAAAGCAGCTACGAACCAACAATTGCCTAAAGCACCTTGTTCAATATCACTCGGTGCAGATGATGAAAATATTGTCAATGGTAATTTACGATCATCATCCGATGACGGAGCAACGTTTGATATTTGTAGCCATTTGGCAACTTGTGTAAATAAATCTGATCCGATAGATCGTGTTGAATGAGAAAATTGACCATCGACAAAATGTATCTTATTCTAGGCATATAAACAATGCACAAACATCAGAAAGCGTCTAACTGAATATCTTCAATACTTAAATACACCGTAATAGTCTTTCCTTTTTGACTTATATGTAAAGGTTACAAAACATAACTTCAACTTTCTCGTTTCACATTATTAAACGGCATGTTCGGTTTTTGTAATCAACGACGAATGAAAAAAAGTGTACATTAGTCAACCATTCTTTTCGATAAATACAAAACGAAATTATTGATGCTATCAAATACCTTCTACAATATTTAATTATTTTTTGAAATATGATTTCAGCACCGGATTCGTGTTTATATCGACGATCACGAACCGTTAGTGACGTATATGTATCAGATGCTGATGTATTCGAGTTGATCAACGTTATTTCATTATCATCCTAAATGAAGAAAAAAACATGATTTCTGCTAAATTATTAATGCCTATAAACGTAGGGCTTACTGATATAGGCTTTGATGGGTTATGTGCCTCGCACTGCACATTATTAGTTTTAGCATTTGGCCCATATTGATAACGAAACACAATTGATTTCGATTGATCATTATCAGGATGATCTTCTACTAGTAGCAGAAACATTTGTTGACACATTTCACAAAGAGGAACATCTTCCGTTTGGACGGAACATATTGGACACCACCATTGGTCGATAACGGTAAGTAATGATGAGTCAGCGTGTATATCAAGTAAAGCAGCAGTCATCGTATTAATTGACAACATTATCACTTATGATATCTGAAATTTCAGCATCTTCCTTAATATGTTAGCTTTCGAAAAAGTTTCAGTAACGAGTATGTGTGTCGTATATATATAACTATTTTAACAAAAATGAGATTAACTTGTAAAGTATTTCAAAAGCAAAGTATGCATCTGTTGAATAAATCTAACAATCTAGTATATTNCCGGATGATATCGCCGTCGAGTGTAGTATTCGATGATTTAAGATCAATATAATCACATGGCGCTCCAGTCAATAATTGTAGACCTTCATCCATATTTCCACTTCTCAAAGCGGCATAAGAACCGAATAGTTTTGCACATGCTTTTTCGATCAATGGAACATACAATTGACGACGTTTGGCTTGAGCGAAGACAATATGGTTATGTTTTGTGCATGGAAGGTAATCGTCAACAATAATGGTTTTCCACAAACCATTGTGACAAATACGTACCAGATAAACACCTTCATTGTTGACTGTTTTTGTAAGCTGAATGTGTTCAAGTAAACGAGACCGTTCAGAAATTAAAGCTAAAGCAGCTACGAACCAACAATTGCCTAAAGCACCTTGTTCAATATCACTAGGTGCAGGTGATGAAAATATTGTCAATGGTAATTTACGATCATCATCCGATGACGGAGCAACGTTTGATATTTGTAGCTATTTGGCAACTTGTGTAAATAAATCTGATCCGATAGATCGTGTTGAATGAGAAAATTGACCATCGACAAAATGTATCTTATTCTAGGCATATAAACAATGCACAAACATCAGAAAGTGTCTAATTGAATATCTTCAATACTTAAATACAACGTAATAGTCTTTCCTTTTTGACTTATATGTAAAGGTTACAAAACATAACTTCAACTTTCTCGTTTCACATTATCAAACGGCATGTTCGATTTTTGTAATCAACGATGAATGCAAAAAAGTGTACATTAATCAACCATTCTTTTCGATAAATACAAAACGAAATTATTGATGCTATCAAATACCTTCTACAATATTTAATTATTTTTTGAAATATGATTTCAGCACCGGATTCGTGTTTATGTCGACGATCACGAACCGTTAGTGACGTATATGTATCAGATGCTGATGTATCCGAGTTGATCAACGTTATTTCATTATCATCCTAAATGAAGAAAAAAAACATGATTTCTGCTAAATTATTAATGCCTATAAACGCAGGGCTTACTGATATAGGCTTTGATGCGTTATGTGCCTCGCACTGCACATTATTAGTTTTAGCATTTGGTCCATATTGATAACGAAACACGATTGATTTCGATTCATCATTATAAGGAAGATCTTCTACTAGTAGCAGAAACATTTGTTGACACATTTCACAAAGAGGAACATCTTCCGTTTGGACGGAACATATTGGACACCACCATTGGTCGATAACGGTAAGTAATGATGAGTTAGCGTGTACATCAAGTAAAGCAGCAGTCATCGTATTAATTGACAACATTATCACTTATGATATCTGAAATTTCAGCATCTTCCTTAATATGTTAGCTTTCGAAAAAGTTTCAGTAACGAGTATGTGTGTCGTATATATATAACTATTTTAACAAAAAATGAGATTAGCTTGTAAAGTATTTCAAAAGTAAAGTATGCATCTGTTGAATAAATCTAACAATCTAGTATATTGAAAAAAAAAATACTACATACTGTTTTAATGTATGATAAATACCAAAGTGAAGAATGGCAAGTTGTTCGATTGTGAAAATTAAAAAAAATTAAAAAAGATTTCAAAAATATTAAGTTAAAATACGCATTATATATTATTGAAATACTTTATAAAAAGAAAACAGGGTTTTTAAGAAACAAGTTTCATCAACGTTCATTACAAATCCAATTGTTACGAAAAATACTTTCCGATAAAACTTTTATTATGTTACCCGATTTTTTTATCATGACTTCTAATACATTTACTTATACAATATGTTCCTGTTATGAAGAACCTGAAAATAATAGTCACTATTCTATATTCGTTTAATTATAATGGTTATTAGTCTCTTCAAAATCTTACTGGTTATCTCACGAATATTCGACTGTTTTTTGTTTTCTTTTGATGAAACACACTTCTCGATAGGCAATCTTGCATGGGAGTTCCGAGTCAACTACTTCTAAATACCAATATGAACGATCGAGTCAAAAATATAGACTGTGCCTCATATGAGTACTAATTGTGAACTTTTTTTTGGCAGGAAAGGATATGTCAACATGTGTTTTCCAAAAGAACGAATAGAAAAGTCTAAAACAGATACCTTCACATACAATTTGATGAGCTCAATCCAACCATGTCGAACAAGTCCGAAAACAATTGCCATCGTGATCTTCGAATTGCCGGTGCATTATACATACTTAATAGAATTACTAACTTATAGGAATCTAAACGACAAAAGTCATCATATGCACCATCAGCGATAGTGTCAAGAAAAAAGTGCCTGTCTTGTCGCAAAGGCGAATAATACTTATTTTGTTATTTTTCAAAGATGTCGTATAAATTTTGCTGGCGAAAGAACGAACTAATAAATCGAGGAATAAATTGCGTGGGAATTATTGATCAAGTGAAGCGACTATAGTTTCTCTCAGAATTGAAAAAATATGTTAAGAGGGATAAAAAGAGAGAAAATTTTGAAATCATGATGACTCAACATCTCTTCAATCGTATTATTCATTAAATTTGCTTTTGCACATTGTTTGATTCTCTAGTAGGATTCACAATTAAGATTCTCTTCGAAGTGTGAAAAACGCTACCCATTGCGAATAGTATTTCATTTTTATTTTTGTACAACACTTCAAATGACGAATATTGATCAAGAGTAATTTGTTTGTTCTGAAACTCAACAAATAGTAAAAAAAACCGTAATATTGCTCATGTTAGTATTCCTTTCGCGTCCGCGTGGCTGAAGGTGTATGTGAGTGGCAGTAAAGAGAACAGCATTCACCATTAACTCATCGTCGCCGGCCATGCAGTCGATAAATAATTTTTCGTTGCATTCTCACTGAGCATTGATTATGTGCATCAGGAATAGTTCGATAAGAAGCAAACAACTGAAGGACTTTTCGTATCTCCAAATTTCTTACCGTTTTGTAAGAAAGCTCCCGTGAATGTTCAGATCTGTTGTTTCAAGATTGATGATTTCGATTGAACGACGTTTCTCTTGCCATTCACCAAGTTTGTTGTACGTCAATCAAAAATTAATATCAATAGAAATCCGAATATTTTGTTGATGAAGTCACATTTTAGTGGAACACATTCCAAGTTCGATCAATGTCACCACGATCGCACAAAATAAAAAGTTTCAATCTAGAATGACTATTTCTCGACTTGTTTTACGTGTCAGAAACATAACTCGATTACTTCATAATGTAAAAATCAGTCGTTGATTGTGGAACATTCGTTAAATGAAATAAAACTCTATTAACATACAAGATGAACAATGACTATTCTGTCGACATTTATATGGATTTATTGAAAAACTTCTTTGAACTTTTTCATGACTCTAGTAGAATTTAAAAGGCAACGCTTTCATTATATTTCCTATTTGCTAGTAAAAAAACAAAAGGTACATTTTTCAAAACTCATAACCTTAGTAAATACTCTTTAAACGTACCTCACTTGCGTAAAAACATATTCCATCTTAAAGAGATATGAATGAGACAGGATACTAGCCTCATCATGCAGAAAAAAATGAGATGCTGCCGGAAAAGTTCAAGTGTGACAATAAATACACCGAATACTTTATTATGTAGTTTGAAAATTGTGTATGTAATAGAACAACAAATATAACTGTTAGTCAATACTTGTCTTGCGCAAGTACTTTTCGGTCATGTATTTTTGCGCTGACAATGTTTTAAATTTTGTTAATGTTAATAAAGATTGATTGATATAGCAACTATAGTTTTCACAAATTGAATAGAGAAGTTCTAGAGTGAACAAATGATCATTCTCTCTCGTCCTCTATATATAATGACTACTTTGCCTTATTTTATTAAGACTAAGCTTGTTTTTGAACAAGCGGTTTCAGAGGAATCAAGTTTTGTAATAATATATTTTGTTCTTTGACTCGATAATGCAGTGCTATTGCCGCGGGTTCCACACGATGCCGAGATCCACAGATTTGGTTTTTGCACTCTTTGGTCGTTGCTACATAGGCAAATGGTACGATAATATGAATGAGATAGGGTGTATAGAAAAGCCAAATAAGTGAGATATCGATAAGAAAGTCAGCAGGACCCAACAGGCGCACAATAGAAAAGATAGCTAAAGGAAATTGTGTGATGAGATAAACAATAATAATAGAGAGAAGTTGAATAAGCAATTTTCTGTTCTTGCGCCATGTAAACGATCTATTGTCAGAAACAGAAAAACGTTGACATTTTTGAAAGATAACTCTTCCAAGAAGAAGTGCATTAAACACAACAATCAGTAGTGTTGGAAGAAGTACGATGAGAATCCAATCAGCAGTAACAATTACGATGTCCTTATCAAAGCATGGTCCACCACAAAGGAATCGAGTACCATCAAACAAAGTTTTGGTGCACACGTAAGTAAACGTAAGAATGATATACCAACCAGTAACAAAAGCACATACACTCAAAAATGGAACATCATGTCTGAGAAATGTATCTTGATATCGAGAGTAAAAGATGAGAAGATATCGATCGATAGATGCCCATGCCATTAGCCAACTTGAAATACCTTGCAGTAAGTAATTTGCTGTAGCCCAGTACTGGCAGATTGAGAGACTAAAAACACGGCCTGTAGAGAAGTAGTTGAGTGAGATGGGAACAAGATCACACATAAGTTCGACAAAATCTATTACAATAATAAAGATCATAACGTGATTGGAACGACGACGTAAATTAGGCTCACGAATAACACAAATGATGATATAGAGTGAGCATAAGAGCGATGGTCCCAATGGAATCGAGAACAGAAATAGCTTGATGCCACGCGTAAGAGACGTTTCAATGCTGACCTGCGACGATGATGTAGTATTCGACATTCTGTCGTTTAAAATGAAATACTGTAGAACGTGCAATATACTAAATCTGCAAAAGAAAACGATAGGCTCCATATAATATTTCCTACTACCCAAGTAGATAAGGACGTTTAGAAACCAGTTTAAACGTCCTAATCATGGTCCTCGCTTGAGTGTTGTCACGTTCATTCAGAAATTATAAAATCCATCCACTTTCATCATGAAAATTGCGTAAACATGCGTCAAAAAGATCATGTTTGTATACAGAAAATGTTTCAAAAAGTTTTCTCATTATACGTTTGTTATACGTCACGCTGAAAAACCTGTTTTATTTGTGAAAAACAATATCTGCACCTTCTTCAGATGTAAACAATGCCTTTTTAAGTGGCTACATCAATGAGAAACCAAATGATTTCTATGATGGACATCGCCAAAAATCATGTTGACATCTTAAGAATACAAACAAGGATGGAAAGCGATTAAAAATTCTCAGTAACTATTATAAGCCATGAGAAATCAATGAAAAATCACTTTAAATCATAGAAAACCTCCAATAATAACAATACAACTAAACTCCTGAGTTCTATTGATTTAAGATTCTGAATTCCTTGGAATATGTAATGTAGATGTACGAAATACACTGAAAGCATCACTGTTTCTCATAGACAAACAATTATGATTTATGTTATCTATTAGATTTATTTTCATTCGAACATGATGATATTTATAATGTAGATCAAGAAATTGCTAATTTTTCTCAAACAGAGTAGTTCAAAACTTACGAGTATTCTGCGTTTATACTCAAGATTTCATAAGAGTTGTTAGTTACTGACTATTGGATTTTACTTTTTGCAGATGACTTTATGGCTAAGCCCAACCATGAAGCAGTGAGCAAGTTATGAACATAGGATGATAAATCTATTTTCAATGCCACTACCTATTCTTTTCAATAATATGTCTAAATAGTGTAAAGAAAAAAACATCTACCAGTTCGAGACGCATCACACACTTAACGGCACAATCGCTCTTAGCTGTGATGCTTAAAGCTATAAGCCTATTTTAAAGGAATGAGTCAATTATTGGTAGCTCCTCGACAGCAATGCATGTCTACTTACATAATAGACACAATATATATTCAATCAGTAAAGTTTACTTCTTCATTGAAGCTTTCGAATAATAATGAAGTCTATGTTCTTGACAACATTCATCACTCGGAAGCCACCTGCACTTATTTGAGCTTTTTTGCATAGCATTCTGTTAGCCATATTGGATGTAACAAATTAATTATTAATAATTTGTACAGTTAACTAGCAGCTTTTTAACGCCGTACTGCCTAGTTCAACTTCTTATAATGGTTCGCGAGATACATCTCTCCGTGCATCATAAGATGGAAAATCAAGTTCATTTCTTTATTCCGAAGACCTTATATTTTAGTGAGATGTACAATTCAACGAGT